AATGTAACGCGTTAATTACAATTGCACATCCTTGTCACTGTTTTTGATTCTCTATGATCAAGGTTAGTTATCCTTCCATTTATACTTGCCTTGTACTCGCATGAATAAATTTTCAAGGTGATCATCACGCTGATTTTGTGTTAAATTGAGTCATTATGAAAAGAGCATAAGAAACATTCTTCTTGCTAGTTGCTTTTTAACTGGGTTCTAGCATGTACTTTAGCTGTATCGAGGAGTGTAGACAAATTTGTAGATTTTCCGAGACTAAAAATGTGTTTAATATTTTTGAAAATCCTAGAAATAAAAAATTAATCCATTTATCGAAAAGTCTATTACGAACAGAATAAAAATACTCATGTTTGTTTACGCCAATTATGTCAAACAACATTTACATTCAAATTTTAAAAATTTCCTGACGTAGCTCTTATCATTTCCAGTCAGTGCGGTCGCATGACTCCTCATAAATATCCCGAACGGGATATTTATTCTGAGTGGCATATAGAGTTTATCCTGAACAAGATACGTGTCTCAATCGGATATAATCATGATTCAAATCGGGATATCGTTGTATCCCGATCGGGCTATATTACTAAACATGTTCAAAAAAGTATTGAAAGTAAATAGGATCATCCATTGATCGTCCGAAGCAAGGCTTAAAAGTCTCTTACGGTAAACTAAAGTAATAATATATGAAATAATCATTCTAGAATATTAGTATTCTCAGCTACGATCTCAAGACTCTCCAATATGTAGAAAAATGCAACTAGAATAAGCTAAGCGTAATGTAGAATAGATTCGGAAATTTTATGCCTGTGAAAGTTTTTAGTGATGTATCAAACTTCATTCGCAAAAGACATTGTTTCTTTTCTTCGTTTTCTTTCTGTTCTATGAATTTTCAGTGGGGCAGTTATAAACTACGCGTTTTGCTTGTTCCTTCAAGGAACAAGCAAAACGCATGAAAAAGAGCCTCAAAACCTTTTTCCAGAACTCATTGAGAAGCTTACTTAATTACAAACAAAAATTATGATTTTTTCGTGTGTTCAACGGTGAGATAGGTAGCTCGACATCTTAATAAATCTGAGGTGCACTTTATTGAAAAATATTGCAGCATAAATGTTCAAATTCTGTACTTAAAGATCGCGTGATAGTGGAAAAGTATGCTGTCTAATTAGTGATATTTTAATTGTTTAACTTGGCGGATTATGCATTCATAGTGTAGAAATGTTCCTGGATACAAAAAGAGTAAATGAATATTCCCACTAAAGTATAGGTGTACAAATCAACCTTTAATATAAAGTATATGCAGCTATTCTCTTTTCGTTCTTTCGTTTATCCCGACAATACACAAAAGAAAGAGAATCAGAGTAGGTATGCACCGGTATCGGTATACCGAATACCGAAAATACCGAACATCGGTATATACCGATACCGAAAATACCGACTTTTTTTGACTTGGAATTTTTTCATTTGAAATGAGGTATTTTAGCATCCTGGACAAGCAGAACGTATAAACAACACTCAGTTGTGTATTTTGAGCATGTTCAGATAGAAAGAAAAGAAAAACTTTGGCTTTAGAAAGCAAACAAAGCTCTTGCTTTCCGTCCCTGATTCATTCTGGGTGTCTAGGATGCTAAAACATCTCATTTCAAATGAAAAAATCCAAAAAATTCCAAGTCAAAAAAAGTCGGTATTTCGGTATCGGTATATACCGAAGTTCGGTATTTTCGGTATCGGTATATACCGAAATACCGATACCGGTGCATACCTAAATCAGAGAAGAAAAGACATACGCAGAAATATACCGAGAAAAAAATGAGAGAATAGAATAAAAAGCGCTAGTTTCCACGCAGAAACAGTTTTTCGTTTATTTCTCAAAACCTAAGAGTTGTCCAGGAAAAGGGGTGGCATATCTGGGATCCTCGTTAAATTCCCCATCGATTGATGCATTCCGTTTTCTTGTAAATCAGCCCCAGGAAAAGTGACCTGTTTTGCTATGTCTCTAGAATTATTCCTTATTATAATATTCCTTTTTCTTTTCTTTTCCACAAAAGAAAAAGCAGCTAGATTAAGAAAGAAGCTAGAAAATACAGCTACCTTTTTATAGCAATTTACTGCAACTAAAACATGTAACGCGTCTCCGTGCCGCTCATTGTGCAAATTATTGGCACATTTTCGTCGACGATGCTGCTTTTAAGGCAGTCGAGGTAACTGACATGTGAAAAAAGAAGAGATTGCTAGGTACCGAAACCAAAATAATTATTGTCACTCAAAGTACACCGTTGAATTGTGTTCTCTACAAAACTCCGCAACTCCGAGGTCGCTACCTATCATCCTTTCGAATCCAAGGCAATCTTTCTGGGACCTGTCTATCTCAGTTTGATTCGGTCTGACAACCTTAGTACCATCTCCAAACAGAGGTTATCGGCTATGCTAAATCTCATGCCAATGTTAGTTTTCAAAATAAAATGGAATAACTAAGTAGAAATCTATACTAGGTGAAATAATCCAGCTTTGACTATTTTCACCGAAAATTAAAAAATTAATAACTCGGTTAAAAAGCATCCAAACTACGTCAGACTATCCACATATAGTCTATTTCATATTTAGTGTACTGTAAAGTCGAGAAAACCAACAGAAAATACTTTGATTTTTGAAAGGCTTTCCAGAAACCTCCGGAACTAAGAGAATATTTTGTAGTGATGTAAACTACAGAATTAGGAGTGCATCGGTTCGGTTAACCGATGTTTCGGTTGAACCGAAACCGAAATAACCGAACATCGGTTATAACCGAAACCGAAATAACCGAACAACGGTTATAACCGAAACCGAAATAACCGAACATCGGTTATAACCGACGAAATTTTATAATGTGTATTTCTATGCGATCCGCCTACTTTAATGTTTTTCGAATTTTCACGTTGAAAAATTACCGAGATTTTCCCCTAAAACTCAAAATCAACCGAAAATTTCAAAATACACATCAGTTGACTCAGTTTTTGATCCTGGTTCCGAATGTGATATCTTTATTGCTGAAAAGTTGAGTTCTGATCGAGAAAATTGAGAATTACGGCCAGAATTCCGACTTTTCGCCTCTGATTTAGAAAAAATGAATTTTCTCAGCAACGAAACAAAATTTGAAAAAAAGTTCGACATACGTTTAAAGCCGAGCATCAAGAGAATCTATTGATGTGCAAATGAAAGTTCCAATGACTCATACAAAATCTAGATAGGTTTACAAAATGACTCACCCTTCTTTTCCAATGATCCAGTCGAACGTCCATGGTGGACAGGCATTTACCTTCGAAATGGATTTCCTATCATTTTTTAATTTAGCTTTTAACGCTGAACAAGAAAAGAGTAGTTTGAACGTTCAGACTAAAAACCCAAGTCGAAAAATCTAACTTTTTCGAACATCGTCGTTTTTTCGAGTTTTTAGACCCTTCGAGTTTATCCGATTTTTGGACACGAAAAGAAAGTCTAGAAAAATTAAAAACTACACATTCTTGATCTGCTTGAAAAGGTCTATATAATAAGCTGAACAATAAATTCCACTGTAAGTTTGCATTACGTGCATCTTGTATTTTTCATCAAGCAGCGAGTCTTGAAAATGCTTTCTTGGTATGAAGAAGCAGTGCATTTTTCTCACTTGAAATTAGTCATTTTTCTTTGTCTAATTAATGACTTTCTCAAAGATCCTAATCGACATAGAATTTAATTCTAAACTAGAAATAATTGAAGTAATGCCATCTAAATCACATCTGCGCGAAAAATCAGCAATTCTGATTTCAGTTTATCCAAATTTTGAAAACTAGAACAGTAACAATCAAAACTGAGCACATTATAAAATTTCGTCGGTTATAACCGACGTTCGGTTATTTGGGTTTCGGTTATAACCGATGGTCGGTTTTCGGTTTATAACCGAAACCGATGCATGCCTATTACAGAATCACGCTAAGTGGATAGAACAGAGTATCTGTTGATATTCTGACTCAGTTTGAATGGTTATTGACCGAGTTATGAATTTTTTAATTTTTATTGAAAATAGTCAAAAATGAATTATTTCACTAGCCATGGACACTACATTCTGAAATGGATAGTCGAACAGAAAGGTTTTGTTAACATGTCGATATAGGCTGTGTAAACACTTTTGTCACTCTGTTTTGTGAAGTAAAGCTTGCGAAACGTAAAGTCACTCTCTGCCCTACCATAATCACGTAAGAAAGAAAAAACTTACTTTTATAGCATTTTTTCTTTTCGAAAAGAATAGGCTGGAAATTCCAGTCAGGTTTTGAATTCCAGACTGGAATCCAAAACCGCCGTCGGATAGGGTACTTAATACTGCATGTGAAGTCATGGGGATCTCAAAAGTATCGGATGATGATAACCTACTATCCATTTCAAAATATAATGTCGATGGCTATGCTTTGAATAACTCTAGAATGACGAGAGATAGAGACCTGCAGTCCTCAGCATTTTGTAGAGGAGGTGATATTTTATATCCCGATCAAAATACGTGATTTTTTATCGAACTTTTATGCAGTGCCCCATGCAATGCATAGCCGACCCCAATGGAATCTGAATCAGTTTTGAATTCATCTCAGTTCTGAATCTCTTTCGAATGTTATTATCCGTTTTTTATTTGATTGTTAAGCGAAGGCCAGAAAATTATTGACTAATTATATAGGCCGATGGGAATTTGTAGCCCAATCGAGATATATCGTATAGGCCGATCGGGATTTTATCCTGATTAGGATGTAAGTCATGAGACTGCACTGTCAGTTAATATTCCTCTACCATGCCATTTAACTTCTCAAACAATAACATATGATGAATATTATGGTATAATGTGTTAAAAGATTGAATTGTTAACGTAAAAATTTCCCCCTCTTTCTCTACTGTTTTGGATACCTTGTTTAAATATTGCAGGTATCGCACTAACAGAAAATTTTCTTATTATATTTTTTTCAGAACTTTTTTCTCATTTAATACATGATAAACAATTAGCAAGCTTTACGTACATTATCATATCCTTCGGGTGATTTCATTTCATCATCATTACAAAGTGAAAAATCTGATACATCTCTACTTTTATCATCTGTTACTAAGGCTTTCATCATTCCTTTTTTGTGTCGATATATTTTTATCTTCGGATAAAAAAAGTGGTACAACGTATGTGTTGTATAGTTGTAGTGAGATATATATATGTATAATTTTTATATAAAAATATACACATATATTTTTCAAAAAAAATGCAATATCTCAGTTCGCGAGAATTTTGGAAGGTTAACGGGATAATATTCGGAATCAGCATGAAAAACTGAATACAGAACACTACCTTTTACAATTCGAACCCTGCACTGTGATTTTGAGCGAAATTTTTTATGAAAGTTGATATAAGCTATTAGTACGATTCTGTTGCATTTTGTGACCTTTGATACTTTTAATACATGAAATAGGTAGAATTCGATGGCGAGTCCAATGTACATACTGCTGATTTTTCAAAAAAAGAGCACCTTACAATGTTTTGAAATTTTCTCCATGAAGAAGTAGATTAGAGAGGTTAAAAAGGACATATTCATGATTCTTGGCTTCCGGACCATCCGGCTATATGTGTCTGAATCAAAAATAAAATAGTGTGGAAACTTCTGGTGCAAGAATTTTAATAATGATCACAACTTTGGGATATCGGCGCTTCATTAAAAAAACGTTCACTGAAGAAGTTTATAAAAATATAGAAAATAATTAAATATTTTCAATAAAATTCTTTTGCAATCAAAAAAATTGTAATGAAACTCCTGCAAAAATTTTTTAATGAAAGTACCGTTTAATGGAAAGAAACGCCTTAATGGGAGTTTTGTTTAATGAAAGTCACCCAATCCTACAACTTTGAGCGGCATATCAGACCATAGACTGCATGAAAAAGTCCTGACTATGCTAATTTAGCTTACAATTTAAGCGTGAAAACTATCCAAATATTCGAGCCAGACAGCTAAATTATTGATATGTGGTCTACTGGTCCACGATTCATCGACATTATTGATCAATGCACTTAGTTCATCTGCTTTTATAGTGGTTTAATCCTACAAATTCTTTTACTAAAAAGGAAGCAAAAGAGCAGTCGAGGTTCTTTTGTGGCTTTTTGAGCGTTTAAAGGAGAAAAGTCAAGTTTACTTACTGAGGTAACCATAGTATGACACAATGTACTAAAAAGATTACATAGTAACCTTTCGTTTTGGTGACGGAATCTAGATCAATTAGCATAAAAAATATGTTTTCGATCGCTGCGAATCTGTAGAAAGTATTTGTATCGCTCTAGTTTCACCGTAATTCTTTTCCAACCATCAATTAAATGCACTTCTATACCGTGTGTTCGCATGTTTATAAGAACGGAAAGAAAGAGATACGAAATATAAGCAAGAAAAACGCGGCCGACTTCGAAATAAGGAAAGAGAGTTTATTTCGAAACAACTTCTACTATATCGTTATTTCGTTTAGATTATTGAGCCATATAGTAATAAAATCCATATCAAAATTTCTCACATTGGAACTCACTTCAACGATCCGATCCAAAAGATGTACAGATTGTCAAAATGTTATTCAATACCAATCGCACGCTTCCTCCACTCGTGTTAATCAATCCTTTTTATCTTCAACTATCTGATTTATCATGGATGACATATTCTAATTTCTTTCATTCTGGTACTTCTCCAATCTAAAAAGACGCACTATAGCTATATTTGCAATCTACCACTACCAACATGATTGGTGCTAAAACATCCGATTGTTATCATCCTGAATTTACTAAATTTATTAAATGGGAGATCACAGTATCACAAGATTATAATGTTCAAAGTTTCATCTGTCGTCCTTATTTCTCAACAGAAACACAAACGATTTGAAACTTAATGCAAGAGGAATCATTACCGAATGATGCATTTTTATTACTATACCAATATAATCTAATTATGGAAGAATGTAGTTTTCCACCACGAAATTTCAATGGACATAAGATGACGATTCACTGGCTTTTTCAAAGAACTGCACTGATGCAAATGATTTTTATGCACATATTTCGTACGAGTCCACGAATATTTATAATCTGCATTCTAATACATTTTTCATTATGTATTTTTTGTCATCAACAAGAAATTATTGATCAGAGCTAGCCGAAATGTACTTCCTGTACACTTTCGGTCGTACACAGGTAGGCAATATAATTTTGTACTTTTCAAAAGAAGCATTACTGAAAACTTGAATAACTGGATAAATGAATAAAAATTTGAACTACAAAGCGTGCGTATCAAAAGCTAGTTATATAAAGTACTCGTCATATCGTTTTTTTCTTGTCAAGAGGCTTTTGATCGTGTATCTTTCAGTCTCTTAAAAACCAATTTACCGTCTTCAAATTTTCTATTATGATAATCGCCCATTGTATTTCTCAATATGGTGACACATAATTCCCAACCATCATTTCCATATTCATTTAATGCATCGGTACTCACAAGTATACTTTGATCAAACGGACGATTGATTACCATATATTCCCACTGGCGTCGTCTAGGTACCGCTTTTAGAAACAATCCGATCAGTTAAGCGATAATTTTTTACGTGTAGCTTACCTGCGTGAAGTTTTGTTGAAACTGCAGCTAATATTAGTAAAATAATCACGAAATTTGAGTTAAAACAATTCATAATTTTATACAAAAAACAGAACGGATGAGAGAAGACACGCTATTTGTTTTCTTTCATATTTCTACTATAACTGTTACAATAGAAAACATTTATGACAACAACATCCCTATTCTATCACTCTATTGTCAAATGTCAGGATACACACGTCACTTTTTTCCGTTTGTACATACTTCTGTTGTGTGGGAATTCGATTATTAAAATAATTACCATATGCAAAGACAATTATATACATGTGTATTCTGACATTTGACAATACAGCCATATAATGGGGATGTTGTTGACGTAAATATTTTCTATGGGAACAGTTATCGTAGAGAAATGAATAAAACTAAATAGCTTGTCTCTTCTATGTGATACATTTGAAGCAAATGACCTTCAACAAGAATGTCAGAGGGTACATTTCTAAATGTTGAGAAACTCTCATTGGAAAACAATGAATTGAAGACAGAAAACTGATATTTCCACAAAGATAGTTAATGGAGCGAAAATGATGACTCATACTGCAGCGATTCATACGATCAAATGAAACTTCATAGGTCAAGAATGTGAGCACTTATATGGTTTTCACTTTGTTCTTTGATTTTCACTTTTTTAACAAAGTCCTATTCAGTTATAACTTTCGTGAATCTGATGGAAGGCCGTAATGTAGGAGAAAAGCTTGAATACGGACCTTAATAAATTTTAAAGACTTCTCAAGTTTCTCACCAGATATTTAAAGAACTTCTGCAGATTTATCAAAATCTTTAAGAGTTGGAATGAAAAGTAGTGCTGCAAATTTTCCACAAGTTTTGTTTCAAAATCTGTCTTGATCAAGATTTGTGACTGATTCTGACTTTTAGATTTTTGATAAGACGAAATTTTCTAATTGCTCTTTAAAACAATTATTTCTAAACATCTACGTCGCTCTGTTTAGTTTCTTGTTGAAGCGTGATCACTGTTTTTGAAATTTATTTTTTATCTCCGCAATATATCGTGGGAACAGGGCTGACTATCATTCTGCCTTCAAAATATGACTTTTCATAGTCATGGGGACTTTTTTTGTTCATATCTGCTGTAGTTCTTGACAGTTAGACTGATAGAATAAAATAAGATCCTTCACTAATATTTTATTTTTTGTGTGAAAACAGTTCTAGTTTCAAAAGTGGATGAATTATTTTTCGCTGAAATAATTAGAAGTACCGCCACTATCCTTTCAATAAAATAAGATCCAAACAACATTAAAAGTCAAAAATACTTGCGTATAGATTAGAGGTGACAGGCTACAAGAAGATGGTGCTGACGAGGGAACGTTCCCAACTGACAAATCGCTTTCGGGCCGAAACCTAGTGGACTATAGGTAGCGACCATGTTAATTCCGAATATCAACATGAGACGTGCTGCTAGAGAGACTGATTTTCTGGCAAACCAGTTTTGCAGAAACTTCAGAAAAACTAAAAAAAAGCAATATGACTACAATGACGCTATAAACATGACTGATTAAAATAAGTCATGTTTGTAGCGCGCGAAATTCTGATTAAAATGAGATATCCGCGGCGCTACACGACATTTCTTTGCAAAGTTATAGAATGTACAAGAAAAGCCCCTAAATGTTCATTATCAGCTCACAGATATAGAAAGAAGAAGAAATTTCACGGGCTATCCAATGGCATTCTTTTGGAAAATATATAGTTTTTCATTAAGACAGAAAAGACCTTCATAGTGAATGCTTACGCTGACCGTTTACTTCGACTTTGGTCCCAAAACTTTCTGTCACAAATTTGCTTATCCCAAACTTTTGACAGTGATTCCAGATAGTATACTGAGAGTACTGACAGTACTATCTACTGCAAGTAGTCCGACTTCAACTTAAGTTCATAATAACGAGATCGATCGAATCAAATTCTGCAGTGAAGAAGATACATTGAAGACGCAACAGTTCTGCTGAAAAACGGCAATTACTGTTTTCCACTAGCAACGTGGAATAGTTACTTGGAATGGCTCAGAGACAGATCATTTTTTCCACCCAACGACTATTTACACCGTGATAGGTGACTAACAACGCTTTTTTTCTCTTTCTTTTAAGACCGTATGATCATCACTGGTGGTTATCCTGTTGCTTTCTCGGTTATCAATATGATTTTAATGATCAGATATAATGTATTTTTTCAAAAAAAGTTGTCATACCAATTTTTATAGTATATTTTTGGGACCCGTGAATGCGTTATTGACTTTTTGTTTCAAACGCTAACTGTATCATGACTCATGATTCATGAGTCTTTTATTGAACCTATATAAACGAGAATTGATTGATAGAGATTTGTTGCGATACCATTACTTCATAAATGGATTGTAACAAATAATTTGTTTTTGTTTACAAGAGTTAAAAAATAAAATAAAAATTCTATAGAATCCTGATTAGTGTCGAGTTGTGAACGAAATAGTTACAGTTCAACTGAAACTAGCCTAACCCTAACTATTTCTTCTTATTTTGCTGATTCAAGGTTTAGTAACCTTGAATTTCAGTTAATCTTCAAACATTATCGGAAAAAGGCAGATCCACAAAAAAGAATGGTATTACAAAAGTTGCTTTTAAAATCAGCAAAACATAGAGAAGACGGTTACGATTCAAAACATTTGCGAACCAGAAGTGATAATTGAGTATTTTTGATACATTTCCCATCTTTTCATCAATGGGAATAAACATCAGTTTAAGCTTCAAATGGAAATTGTGACGCTGCATTTTGACTGACCAGTTTTCTTATTCCTCTTTCGATTTAGTCGGTCTAAAGCGACAACATTTTCAGCTCGCAATAATCCCAATACAGACCATACTTCCATTTAGGACTAGCCCAATTTCTGACAGCTAAATAAACTGTTGACGGCTTATAAATGGTTATTGTACCCATGACTGAAGTGAACCACGATGTTCCATGTATTATTTTCCTTTCTTGAGTTGTTTCGTCTGTCCACGGGTAACAGATTAACGTGCCATGCTCAGGTACAGCAAGAAACTCGGTTGTTCCATCAATCTTTGCCGACGCATTCAACAGCATTCTCCACGAGAGCTCATATTTTCCTGGAAGGATATTCTCCATTTTTCCTGTTATTTCAAGCCAACAAACGTTGAACACTTTGACAACACGGCCATTGAGACTATCATTTGTATGCACTTCTCCCATATACTGTGGGTTATTCAAATGAACCACCACCATATCGGTGGTTGCGACTCGTTTTCGATCGATTAGATAGAAATAGATCAGTTTCATTAATGGAACATTTTTGCAATTTAAGCTGTTTGTTTTGTTGAATTGATAATATTGAACGTTCTCTCGAAACCAGTTTGGATCGAAGTACATGGTCAAATGACTTGCGGTCGTTTCATTGTAATCAGTGGCTGATCTGACTGCCGCTGCATCTAGTTCACACTCGGGGCCTCCAGAGTGAAGAAAACTAGGTCGCTGAATTTTATTTTGTTGCGTTTTTCCGGTTTCTGTGGCTTCGGTTTTTTCTTCTTCAAATATATCATTTGTATATAATTTGGCGATGGACGACGGGAATTTGAAACGTATGAGATGAGTCCAGAATGTGTCATTGTTAATAAACTGATACAAGCGAGAACATGTTTGACTTAACTTTGAAAGATCGCCATGAGATAGATGTTCACCGATCAAATAGAATAGTTCTGGTGGTAAGTTAAGTAGGAGAGAGCCTTTGACTGGATCGTATATAAAAGGCTCTGCTATGACTGCATGCTCCGCTGTGACTGCATGCTCCGCTGTGACTACATGCTCCGCTGTGGTGACCAGATGTTCCTCAGTGGTTGCCTGATCCGAAGTAATTGAATGCAAAGTTCGATTCACTGCACCTCTGTCTCTCCTGAAAATTCGTTTTAACATTATATAATCGAAAGTGTAGAATTTGATGTTGTCTGTGAATGTCACGTTGTTTCTAATAAAAAATAATAATCTTTTCTTATTATATAGCACGAGATATTTCACAGGTAGGTATTTTTATCATTCTTGCTTAGAATGAGTAGAGCGAAAGAAGAACTCAAAAACAGATGAAAGAAAAAAGAAAAGATAAAGAGAGAGCACACAAGAAAAGCACTAGTGTTACTATCACAACGAATAGTAGCAGACACTTCTCGGTGTCGCTATTAACCTGCTGAATAGGGAATTCCGGTTCTCGGTTCGCTGATATCAGTTTTACAGTTCTGAAGTTATAGTTAATGGCTTTTTAACTGCAACTGGTGCATACCTAGTTGCAAAGAAAGGGGAAAAGCAAGAAACAGCGTTTTCGTCTTCTCTAGCACATTAGACAGATACTTAACACGTAAATTCTTTCCTTAAATCTTGAAAAGGTTTCGGAATAATGTGTCGCAAATCTTTTTCAGGTTCAGAAGAGGACGAATATCTATTTCAAAATAAAGGCCCCCTGAGCATATTTCAAACAAGTTGAGAACATGAAGAACTATCAAGAAACGGTTTTCGGCAGCATATAGCTATATGGTTTGCCGCCTTCGGAACTGGCAAACGTTGGTGGAAGCCACTTCTGGATAGTTCTTTCCGCTTATTCCAGAAATCATCTGTTTTGAAATGCGTACAGAAGAGTGATGTGTGGGTACAAGAGAAAAGCTAGAAACCTTTTAGTAATGACTTTTGTCTATATGTTATAAGTAGAAGTGGCAGTGTCAAAGTTCAAAATACAAAAATTGTTTATATGTCTAAACACATACTATCATAGTATATAGTTATAATTTGAATTATAACTGAATTTGATTTAATTGAATAGTTACCACCTAGCGAGCTTGATACAAGACCATGATCGCTGGAGTCGGTAAAATCAGCCATTGAGTGTGCTCATTTCCACATAAGTGTGGAGAACCGTAGAATGCAAAATTAGTTTCCTTCGCTACGCGATCATGTTTTGGGAATAAGTTTTTATTGTTATTGTAAGCTTAAAATAAGAATACTAGCTCACAAAACCTGTGCTAACACGAATTGCAAAAAAAAAACAACCAATGGCTGCTGACTAGCAAGTAAATTTTTAAGGAAGCCGAAAAAAATCATACACAGCATCGACTATTATGTAGGAACAACGAGCACTCGATGACGTTCAAGGTATACTGTTGTTTCAGAAAAAATGTCTCTAGTTTTCAGATATCTATAACAATGTATTTGGTTGCAAAACAAATGACAACTTTTGCTATGAATAGGAAAAGTGCTAGTTTTCCCGGTACATCTGTACATGCATTTATTAAAATCTGAAATAGACGTATTGTATGAGAGAGTTAAGATACGCTCTCTCATTAAATACAAAATAGATTGTCACGAAACTAGACGCTTACGGGTTTGAAACTATGCTCTTTCAACAAAAAGCAAAGCAAGTGGGTTTCTACGGAAAGACCTGATAGTGTAAGATGCTCGTAAGTCAAACTCAGAGTGAAATTTCTTTTTGAGTTTATCATACATATTCTGAATTGCCAGGTCGAGCTGATCACGAATATCACCTTTTTAGTTCGAAAAAAGGAAATCTTGATGGAGAAAAATGCAAAATATTGAGACGAGGTCGAAAAAGCTAAAAACTGTTCTTTTTCAGAAAATGGTTTACAAGTTTTTCCCTGTACGTTTTTACTTATTCTCATTAATATTTTCAAATTCTACGTTGAAAACTGATTCTAGAGAGGTCTCTTTCAATAACGTATGGTCAAAACTGAAATTTTGGCTGAGCTCAGAACTGGCTAAGCTCAGCGGTCGATACTCTCAGCTTGCAAACCTATCTAGTTTTTTGGGTTAAGGGATAGGTCTCCCATTCACATACCGTTAGATAGCCCAAGTGATAAGCTTTAAAAGTACGGAGAGATTTTTTTAAAATACCTTTCCATTGCTGTGCAGAGAAAATTCATTTTTTCTGAATAAGATGCGAAAAATTCTCAACCGTACCCGTAATTCTCAATTTTCTTTATCAGAACTCAAGTTTTAAGCAATAAAAACATCAAATTCGGAATCAGGATCAAAAATTGAGTCGAAGGATGTGTATTCGAAACTTTTAGCTGATTTTCATTTTTAGGTCAAAATCTCGATCATTTTTCAACGCGAAAATTCGACAAAACATTTTTTTGGTTGTTTGGAGTTTGCCCTACGAGCATCTTATCTATCGATGAAATGTGAAACAATAATGATTCGGATTAAAAACTTTAGTTAGAACATTCGCGAACATCTCTTATGTTATTCGAGCTTTTGTCTGCGATAAATCACTTTTGAACTTTGGCTTTTTTA